CACGGCCGTAGTCATTGTGCAGGAGGAGAGGGACTCCTCCGAGCGTGCAGCTTTGGCTTAGGCGCGTGGGAAGGGATCCCCGAGACAGCATGGCAAGTTCTTTGAGCTTAGTGCCGAGGGAGTCCTCGAGGATTGAAGACTCTCTGAAGGCGCTAGGTACGAACTTCAGCCTGGACCCTGTTGTAGTGGACGCTTTGATTAAGACAGGTATCTCTAATTTTGAGGAGTTTCGATTTTTCTCAAAACTGTCGCTTGGGGATGGCAAAATGCTTCAGGTTTCCCGCTTGAGGCGGGCGTGGCATGCCATCACCCTCTATTTCAGACAGATGGAGCAAGATCGCTCCAAGGTTGCCTCCGATGATCTTGATTCCATGCTTGGAGAGACCGAGCTGCGGGACACCAAGGTCAGCTTCTGGCGGAGGTACCGCCAGCGATTCCCCCCGGAAGTGCATCCGGCGGACTCCACACTATCGCGGGTGAGCCGGGAGATGAGCAAGCGGATGCTGTGTGTATTTTCCATATGGAAGGTCAAGTCGTTGCAGTTCCAGTTGATGACCACTCAGAAGAAGCGTAAGCTTGGCGACAACCTGTTCACCGAAGAAGCTGAGGAGGAAGAGCCCTCTGCCCGCGATACCGAGGCCTACCTGGACAAGCTTCAGACGCTGATGGTGGCCTATGCGATGGCCGGGGTGGGACCCTTGCCTGCACCAGGGCCAGGGTTTGATCTGAAAGATGAACTGACTTTGGGAGCAGACAGCGCCCTTTACGCCCAAGTGCCGCTTGATATCGCGATGCAATATTTCTTTCGAGCCAAACGAGCCACTGCCGCACTTCCACCAGGCAAACGACTGGCATGGCTGCAAACCCGTGATGCCGAAGAAAGGGCGGAGTGGACAGCTCGCTTTCTGGAAAGCTCTCAGTCGCTAGGCGTCATCATTAAAGAAGTCTACCTGGCGCGAGATGCACACTGGTTGCCGCCAACACCGGCGGAGCCGGCGTTCGCCACCCCCGGGAAGAACGCGCCGCCGGCAGCCACCCCGGCGACTTCCAAGTTTGCATTGGGGAAGTCTATCCAAGGCAAACAGGTGGCGCGGGTACTTCGCGATGGGACACTCCTGTGCCAGGCTTTCCAGGAAGGCTCTTGCAAGAGTAAGAGGGGCAAATGCAAGCTGGGCCAACACCGTTGCGGCCATGTCACCAAGAAGGAGCGAGTTTGTGGAGCTCCGAACCATGGGGCAGCAGCTTGCCGTAACACCCCCAAGGCCTGACGGGGCCTTGAAGAGGCAGCGGCAGCCTCCTCAGGGTCCGTTGAGGATCCGCCGCAACCAGGGGTGGGACCCCTGATGGCCGACCTGATGTCAGGGCCGAATGCACCACTTACCAGAGCTTTCATCTTTTGCGGATGGAGATGCATCACCATTGACTGGTTGATCAACCCCCAACACGACCTCGCCAACCCGGAGTTCCAGCGGGAACTTCGTGAGATGTTGAAGCAAGCCGATTGCATCTGTGCCGCCTTGGATTGTAGCGCCCGAGCTCGAGAGATTCCCCGTCGTTTTGAGGACGGCCGGCCCGCTCCGAAGCCCCTGCGGTCGGATGAGCACCCCACAGGTCTTCCACACCTCCGAGGGAGTGACCTTCGGCGAGTGACCAAGGACAACCAGGCCTGTGACTTTGTTCTCCAGGAGATCCAGGAATTGGCCGATCGCGGTGGAGCGTCACTGCGGGAGAATCCAGCGAGGAGCCTCCACTGGGAGCTTCCCCGGGAGAAGCAGATGTTGGAGTCCGGCGACTGGCAGGACACCTGCTATGCGGCATGTTGCTTTATGGGGGCACGGCGCAAACAGCAGAGGCTCAGGCACAACATTCAGGAGATCTCCCAGTGGCCGCCACTTCAGTGTCACCATCAACACGACCCAGATGAGTGGAAGCCATACACATTGGATGGACAGCGGATTTTCCCTAGTCATGAAGAAGCCGAGTACACGGCCCCGCTAGCCTTCGCCATTGCGGTGTCTACTAGTTGGTGGGCGGTGCGTGTCGGTCGAGCTAAGTTGCGGGTCCCTCGGATGCCACCGACTGAGGCTGTGGGCCGCCGTGAGCATTGGCTTCACTACGATCCTCGCTCGATGCGCAGTTGGGCTATGACCCCGTTGGCGATTCAGCTGGGCCTGCGACCAGTCGATCCTCGCGAGCGTGCGCGAGTGCCTCGCGTGCGCCGAGTTGTTGACCTGTTAGTGGATGGAAAACTTCCCTCCAAGTGCATCTACGTGGGGCGGGGGCATCACAGTCACAAGCTGCCCCTGTCGAAATGGTGCTCTCCGTACACCCCCGGACACGATTGCACAGCAGATGAATGGCTCCCCTGTTATGTTGAGTTCATCATGTCGTCCAAGGCAGCGGAGCTCCCAGAGCTAGCAGGATGTATCTTAGCGTGTGATTGCTCGCACGATAGCGATGTTTGCGAAGCGGATGCACTCGCGGGCCTGGTTTTTGACGCCACACCCCCGGAAGCGCCTCGCTATCTGGCAGCGGCAGGCGGGCAAGCCCAGAGGCATCGCTCGATGGCATCTCGGGCGCTGCGGTTGGGGGTCGTCTCAAGCAGAGGTTGGCCTATTCACCCAAGAGGGCGTTGTCACTTGCTTCCGTCGCCTCTTCCCAGGTACGTGGTTCCAAGACTTCAAGTTCCCGATGATCGAGGACCTCCTGAACCAAGCACCGTTCTGCGAGTTTCCACGCTGGAGGGACCAGCGCGATCTCAAGGCAGACGGACCCTTGGGACCACATTTGGCCAGCGCAGCTTTGAGACAGCGACAGCGCCATGCCGAAGGCCAGCAAGCAGGAGCTTTGAGTCACAAAGCCGCCCTACCTCCACTTTTGAGTTTTGGGTTGGACCCTGATACCCACTTTCAGCGAGCTTGCCTTCGCAGCCAGGTACCAATACCAACCGAGCAGTCGCCCCTCCTGGACGATGATCTTTGGTTTGTGGCTGAACTCTATGCATCACGTCCCAAGGACCTATACCACGACTTCGCGAGCAGAGCCTAGGCATCTTGAAAGAGCTGAAGCAGCGCTGGCAGAGCGTGGGCGAGCGCCTGAGGACTTTCCAAACATCAGCGCTTCGGGCAGTCACCCGTTCCCGGGACATCGGACTGACGGCCCTCTTGGTGACCCTGACTTCCTGGTCGGATATCACGTACCCTCACGGTTTGGTAGCGGCCAGGGTTTCTGCTCTACACCGTTGACCCATACACAGCTCCTGCGAGAACTACGAGGAGAACCATTCCGCCTCATCCCCAGATGTGTGATCGTGCAATCATCGGGCAAGAAGCGGATCATTGACAATGGAGATACAGGCGGCCAGTCTGAGCGATCCTCGGATTGGAACAAGTTGGTCTTGTGCTTGCCATTGCGGCCGGCACAACATGTGGGGGCGGTGGCCTCGCTTCTGACGGACGACCAGTGGCAGACTCTGACGACTGACGACGCGTGGCTATCAGGAGGCGAAGACTGGCCCAATGCCTACCGTCATTCCCCAATCAGTCGGGAGGAGAGCCGAGGCTGTATCGTCTGTTTTTGGCATGCCGAGCGGGAGGAACCCGCCTTTCAGGTGTATTCATCACTGCTCTTCGGCCTTCCGCTCGCGGTGACGTCGTTCAATCGGTATTCCCGCTTCATCGAGGCCCTGGGACGACGGCTCACCTACAGTCTGGTGTCGCTTTATTTTGATGATGCTCACATCACGGATCTTCAGTCAGGATTCGACTCCAGCCAACAAGCCTTTTGCCAGTTGAACTCCCTCCTAGGCACCCCGTTCGCTGAGGAGAAGAAACAGTTGATGCAGCCGACCGGAACCTTCCTGGGCCTCGATCACGACTTCACGAATCTGAGCCGCGGCTTCGTGACGTTTTGGGCCCGAGATAGATTGATTCAGAAGACAGCTGCGATGATTACCGAAGCTCAGGCTCACAATAGTCTGTCCTCAGGCCAGGCGTCCAAGCTCTACGGCGTGCTCAATTTTCTCGAGCAGGGCATGTACGGAAGGTTGGGTTGCGCAGGCTTAGCAGCCATCAAAGCACGTCAGACGGAACGCAACCGTGACCTCACCCCAGAGCTTCAGCGCAACTTTGACGTGATTCACTCCATTCTTCGCCATCGACCCTGTCGCGAACTCCCCGTGAGGCCGTCCGAGTGTCTACGGTTTGTTGTTGCTTCTGATGCAGCTTTGGAGGAACCAAAGCAGGGCACAGGAGGATTTTTAATCGTATGGCACGACCCGGTGGGCCCGGTTCGGGAAGCCTTCATCGCCAATATCCCTCGGGAGGTTTACCAGCTGTGGGAGCCTGGCGATAGGCAGATTGCCCAGTTGGAGATGGTGATGATCATTTATGCCCTCACGTATCGGGCACAGGCCTTTCGAGGTCGCCGAGGCATCTGGCTGATCGATAACGTCGCTAGCCTCATGTGTCTGATCCGGGGCCGTTCCCAGTCACCCGATCTTGAGCGCATGTGCGGTTTGATCCACGTGATGTTGTACGCTTTGCGCACCTGGATGTATTGGGAATACATTCCTTCTAAGAGTAATTGGGCTGACGCCATTTCAAGATTAGGTTGGTCCGATCCGTGGTGGCGAACTAACGGATTCACCCCTTTTTCCGTCTCTTGCCCATTCTGCCTCTGGCACCTTCCACTTCCAGCGGTGATCCGAGATGGAATTTCTCTAAGTGCGTTGGGAGGATTTGAAGTGCATTGGGAGTGGTTTCCGGAGTGACCGGAAGGATACCACAAGGGTCTGATTGTGTCAGGCCTGCTGATGCAGGTAAC